GTTCCCAGCTGGGAGCCCGCAGAGAGGGGCTGTTCCTGCCCGCTCCGGGACTCTCCCGCATTCCCGCTGGGTTTTTTTGCCTTGGGTCCCCAGCTGGAAAGGAGGAGGGAGGGCGGCGTTTAGGGAAAACCCAGCTCAAATCGTGGARTCAGAGTGGTTTGGGTTGGAAGGGGTCTTAAWGATCACCTAAAGTTCCACCCCTGTCTCAGGGACACCTCCACTAGCCCTRGTTGCTCAGAGCTCCATCCAGCCAGGCCTTGAACACCTCCAGGGATGGGGCAGCCACAAATAAATACACTCAGAGCTGTCTGAACGTGTTCTTGCTGTGAATCAAACGATATTGATGCGATTTCTCAGGCTCTCAGCGCCTCAGGTTTGGTCTGAGCCACACTGGAGGCGTCCCTGGCCCTRAGGATGTCACCGGGACACCTTCAAAGATGTGAGAGACATTCAGAGGCTGCAGCTCACCCTCCAAACGCCCCCARCGTGCCCTTCACCCTCCCGCTTCTGTGATCATTTCCAGATGGGCAGATGCTGCTGAAGGGCCCCTTTGATTTCTAAAGGTCTCTCTGCAAACACAAAGGTCACCGTGGCAGCAGGATCAGGGCCTCGGAGAAAGAGCTCTTCGAGGAGGAGCACGGAAATAAATAAAAACGAGCATTTATAGCCACTCTTCCAGGCAGGGAGATCATTCTTGTCCAAACAGTGCTTTTTGTGTGACCTCACACAAGTTTTTATCCCTAAATTTTCACAGCTTCCCTCGAGCAAAATTGGCTCCTTGAAACGCTTTCCAGGACAATAGCGGCGCTAAAAATAAGAGAAGAGAAAGTTAAGAGGTGCAAACGAGGGGGAAAAGCAAGGGCTCAGCTCGGGYACAAAAAGAGAGGGAGGGCCCACAAGGTAGGAACTGCACAGAAAGATCCTCAGCACAAAAGCTGCAAAGGAGAAGGCCCCACTCACACAGGGAATTTATTCAGAGGAGATTATGCAAAAACCCAGGAGGATCCCAGCAGGGGCTGGAGGGGGGTCAGCGGGCACAAACAACCCTYGGAAGGATTCTTCTCACCCCAAACCTGGAATCCTCCTCCCTGTGTGACACGGGGACCACTCAGGGTTTATCTGAGCTCCTGGGGTGGGAGCGGCGATCCGAGGCTGTCCCTGCCTGTCTGGCGATCTGCTTTGGAGTGTGTGGTGTTATTTTCCTCCTGGCAGTTCCTGGAGCAAAGGAAAGCAGCAGTTTGGCTCGGGGAGCTCTTCCCGAGGTTCAGCAGCTTGACAGGAACTCTGGGGTGCTGCTGCGGATTGCAGTTCTGACCCGGGAATGGGAGGCTCAATCCCACCCCAAAAATGAATGGACAAAGAGATGAGAAATACAGAAAGGGGATTAAAAACACTGGCAGGCAACAGAGTTAAAGAGAGTTCAGGAGATAGCAGGGAACTGAAAAACAATCAGGGGGCACGGGAGGGGACAGCTTTGCTGGGATTTGAAAGGGACTGGAAGCTGCCAAGGGATGGATGGAGCAGTGACCCTGGAGAGAATTCCTGAAGAGCAAGTGCAGCTCCAAGGCTTTGTTTCAGGTCTGGGTGGCCAAAGCGATGCTTGAATGGTGTCAATCAGCCTCTTGCACCTTTTCTGTTCGCTGCTCTGGTGCAGCTGCACTGCTGGAATCTTTAGAGAGCCACGGGGAAGGTGAAATGCAGCCCGTGCAGGATCAGCTGCACTCGGGTTTACTGGATGTTAACGATCCGGGCCAAGATTTTCTGGTATGTGAGCACATTGCAGCCTTTTACTGGGAGGAAACTTCCATTAAAATACCTCAGCCACGGCTGGGAATGAGGTTAGGGGAAAAAAATGCGCTGCTGAAAGCCCGACTGTGAAGTTCCAGTGCGTGGGAGCCGGAGCTGCAATCGGACACAGGGCTTGACTCGGTGCCTCATCATCCTGGGGGAAAACCACGCGGATTTGGCCAAATTACAAATCCTCACTGCCTCTTCCTCACCTCAAAGCTTTGTTTTGAAGCTCCGTGTCACGCTGGCACTTTGGAAAAGCAGGARGGGATCGGTGCCCGCTGAGGCTGGGSTCAAAGGCTTCCTMAGAGCCCTGGCAAGCCAGAGAAAAMCAGAAATTTCAGCKTCCACACAAAGCTCTGTGAGTAAAYTSCKTGCCAGAGCATTCCCTGAGTGATTTTCCGAGCAAACCAAAGTGTTTGTAGCCACCTCGTCTCCTCCACTTGCCACCTGCTGTGTGAATGCTGCCAGGGGCTGATGCAGAAATACCTGCACCATGCCCTCCCTTTGCCTCTGACCTRTGTGGGGTTGTACCCTCTGTCTCCCAAAAGCAAAATAAACTAAATAAAATGAAATAAAATATATAAAATAAAATAAATTTTAAAAGTAAAATAAAATGAAATTATATAAAATAAGTAAAATTTAATAAAATAAATTTTAAAAATAGAATAAAATGAAATAAAATAAAATAATAAAATAAAATAAAATATTTATTCTTTCTTAATCCAAAACCAGACTGCTGGGAATCTCTTCAGTGCAGCCCAGGCTGTCTCGTGCCCAACCTCCCGAGCACAGGAGCTTTTAAGAGCAAACSGAGTGAAGGCCTTTTCCCTCTGCTGTTTCACCCCAAAGTGAGTAATCAGYCCATACTCCAGGGGCCATTAACATCCCAAGTTTCCCTTCCCATGGAGCAGAGAGCAATAATTATTGCTGCTTTCTCATCAGCTTCCAGTAAAGCTCTGTGGCCAGTTTGCTCATTATGAGCATGAAACCGAGGTATCCAAACACCACAACAGCACATCAAAGAGGGAGGGTGTTTGTTGTGAGCCAGCTGCTCATTCCAAGAAATAATCAGGGGTGGAGAGGCTGAAAAGAGAGCAAGAGAATCTTGCTGGGGGCTGCTCTGCTGCTAGAGACCTTTGGAAGGGCAAAAAAATACCTTTCCATCGCCATCCTGCCTGTTTGGGGTGGCTGCAGGGCATCTCAGGCAGGTGCAGCCCCACAGCTCTGCCAGGACCTGGCTGATCTCAGTCCCCACAGCTCTGCCAGGACCTGGCTGATCTCAGTCCCACAGAAATAACTTCACCCCTTTGGTTCCCCCCGGAGCGCTGAACCAACAACCACAGCACCTCCACAAGAATCTCCAGGTCCCCCAGACCCTTTAAAAAAATCCCATTTTTGCCATTCTGAGTCTCCTTTGCCTCGGGTATCACKGGCAGAAATTCCGTGCAGGAGCTCCCGCTGCTCTCAGGGAAAGGACCCAGTCCTAAGAACAACCACGAGCCCTAAATGTCCATCCTGAACCCTCTCCCTGCAAGGTGATTAATTAGGCTGTGTCTAATGAGCTGTACAGAACACCCTGGTTTGGCCTGGGCACGCAGGAGATGGATGGAGGAGCACCAAAGCTGCTGCACCCGCCTGGTTTGGCATCACCACGGGTTTAACAGCGATTTCTGCTCACTCAGAACACCTCAAACTCGGGTTTAACAGCGATTTCTGCTCACTCAGTACACCTCAAACTCGGGTTTAACAGCGATTTCTGCTCACTCAGAACGCCTCAAACTCGGGTTTAACAGCGATTTCTGCTCACTCAGTACACCTCAAACTCGGGTTTAACAGCGATTTCTGCTCACTCAGAACACCTCAAACTCGGGTTTAACAGCGATTTCCTGGCTCTGGTGGAGCTGGGGAGCCGGATGGAGCTGAGTGGAGCTGGAACAGGGTTTTTGCTGTGGTTTGCTGTCCCCTGCCCTGGCCCCACCAGGCTGAGTTGGGCTGAGGAGAGCCCTGTGCACACTCACAGCTCGTTCCTGGGAGCTGCTTGCACAGACCGAGTTCAGCGCAGGAATGTGAATCCGAGGGGGAGGAAACTCAGATTTTTCTTGTGCTCTGCACATTTGTCCAGAACAGCCTGAAAAATCCGAATTTTTTTGAATAAAATCCACCAAAAACAAGCCTTTACTGCCTGCTCAGTCCCCGAGTTTCTCGGTTTTTTTTTTACTCCGCTGTTAATCCCAACTCAGGTTGGTGTAACTGAGGTCAGGGATCAGACCCAAACGTTCTGCCTTGAGCTCTTTAATCTCCCATCCTTCATTTTCCGAGCCAAAATACTTTTAATGCTACACGGAGGAATCATCAGCGCTTTTTGAAGGATTCAATCAGGACGAGTATTTTGGGGAGCTGAACACACAAAACCCAGCAAATTTCCTATTGTTCCCGGCACTACAAAACTAAAAGCGCTCAGGGAGGGTTAATTGGATTTTTTTTTCACTCTCCTGGTCCCCCAACTTGTCGTCTAAATCCCAGCTATTATCAGGAATATTACTGACGAGGACCTATGGCTTGATCCGAAGCCCTGGGAAAAGATTTGTGTTGCGCTGTTCAGCGGAGATCTTACAGTTGCAGAAAGGAATCAGCCTTCAAGTCATTCCTCATTAATTAAAAGCGATTCAACCTCCCTTCGGAGCGTTCCCCTCCTGAATGCCCTCCTTTCCTTGGCAAATTACATAAACCCGGTTTGTGAATGGGGGCGAGAAACGGCTTTAGTGGCTTAGAACAATGCCCAGCATCTTCTGCCTCTGACCTGCTTACCACCCCATTCTCTGTCCCGGGCAATTAAGGGGCTGTAATTAAACGAGCCGGCCCCGGTGACGGAGCGCTGGGAAGTTGGTGGAGAGCTTTGAAGATGCTGCGGATGCTTGAGAGGAGATGGGGTCCTGATTAGACGCGCGTTAATTGGGATTCCAGCTCACCCAGCAGGGAGGGTGGGAAGGGCRGAACGGGGAGGATGCAGTGGAAAAGGGGTTTGGGGTGTGCAGGAGGGGTTCTTCCCCCTTTTTCCTGGGTAAATTAATGCGAGGAGACTCGGGAGCACCAGCCTGGAGTGACCTGGAGTTCAGGTGGAAGAGCCACAAAAAATAATAAATATAACCCTGAGGTCACAGCATACAATCGAGGTGAGGATCCCTCACAGGAATCCTGAAATGCTAAGAGAGAAATCCTGAATTGAGGGAGATGGTGGAGATCACCCAGCCAAGATTTGGGCTGCCTTTGTGAAGTTCATGAGACCTGGAGTTCAGGTGGAAGAGGGAAGATCCACAAAAATAATAAAAAGAACCCTGAGGCCTCAGCACACAACCCATGTGAGGATCCCTGACAGGAATCCTGAAACCCTAAGAGAGAAATCTTGAATTTTAAGAGCTGCTGGAGACCGCCCAGCCAAGATTTGGGCTGCCTTTGTGAAGTCCACAAGGCTGGAAGGATCACGTGGAAGGGTCTGCTCTGCCAAGAGACACTTCAGGGCTCACACTGATGGTGTGGATTTGGGAAGTTTGAGGAAATCATTGGAAAAATCTCCCTCTCACTGTCCTACAGCTCCTTACAGGAGTAAAATCTCCTTTGTGGAGCAGAAAGGGCTGTGGATTCCTCCTGTGGCACTGGAGGTTTGGCCAGGTGTCCCTTTTTGTCCCCTGTGCTCTGCTGGGGACAGAATTTGTACCTGAAGCATCCAATTCCCGTTCTTTTTGTGTTTGAGCTGGGCTCGGTGCYCCTGATCTCCTGCTTTTTCCCGTCCTGCTCACTCAGCCCCTCCTTCCCCAACATCTGGATTCAATCKGCACCACATTCCTGCCCTCCCTCCTGCCTCGTGTCCCCTTCACAGAGGGGAAAACACAAAGAGGGGGAGGTTGGAGGGAGGAAAAGCCAGACAGGGCAGGATGAAGGCATTGGGAGGAAAAATAGTTATTTCTTGTGCTTTCCCGATCTCAGTKCTTGGCCTACGTGGCTCCCAAATGCTGCAGAAATGCAGGAATCCCTTTAAAATCCACTGCAAAAATCTTCTGAAACTGCCCCCATCCCTGGAAGGGTTCAGAGCCAGGCTTTGGAGCACCCTGATTTAGCAGAAATAATAATTTTGAGCCTTTTCATGGGACAAAATGAATTCTAAGGTCCCTTTCTAACCCAAAATATACCGGGATCACTGTGGGCAAAGGGAGAACCTTCCAGACTTTCCCAGGGATGGGATCCCCAAAACTTTCACTGCCCCTGGGCACACAGAAAGCTCTGTGCTGGATTTTGGGAGGATTTTGGGAGGATTTTGGGAGGTCAATGTTAATGAAATCCATCGGCTCAAACCCCCACCGTGTTTGGAGATAAAAACGGGCGAGGTCCGGTGTTAGAGATTGAGATACGAGCTTTGTTTCAGGATTTTTTGCATGTAAAGTTGTTTATTATAAAGAATTTTCATATTTTAGAAGAATTTAAGTAACCAATAATTAGTAAACAATGTATAGTGATGGGTATAGTTTGTTTTGGGGTGGTTTTTTTTGTTTTTTGGGGTTTTTTTGGTGGGTTTTTTATGGTTTTAGGTTTTTGTGAATTGGTTTTCTTGTCTTTAATTCTAATATTTATTTAGATTTTTTTTGTTCACCGAGGCAAACAGATCTTTACTGTCCCAGGCTTGCACCCCCACAATTCAGGACCTGAATCCCACGTTCCCATGAAAGCAAAAAATCCTGCTGGGAACATCYGAACTGAGAGTCCCCAGGGACAGCCGGTGACAGGGGGAAGGAGCTTTCATGTCCCTTCCAACCCAAACCATTCCATGAAWAAAAGTGGTGGCTCCCTCTGCTCCCAAGATGTTCTCCTCTGCATCCCATTTAAATTTTTTGTTAATTAAACAGTTTAGGCTGAGATGATTCCTGTGGAAATTGAGAGGGGAAAAGGAAAAAAGCAGGAATAATTTGTGTGGGAATTAAGGGGGGAAAA